AAGTTCACTGCCTTCGTCTGCCGCAGTGGGCTGCCGTTCGACACCGCTCGTCACGTCGACGAGGCGCTGTGGATGTTCATGGAGCTGTGATTCTTGTGCGGTGAGCCGCAGTCAGTTGCCCGTTCCGCCCTGCACGGCCTCGCGAGTTGCCATCCTGAGATGCTTCACTGAGACAGGAGGCTCTACATCAAAAGCCGTGCCGCACTCGCGGGATGGCGCAACTTTGAGCCGGGCGGGACGCGTGATCCTGTCCCCGCCGAAGTCGCGGGGCGGATCACTGACGACATGCTCCAGCGAGGTGCGGTGCTTGTCGCCTTTTCTGATCGTCCTGGGCTTCGACTGTTGTCTGCGGGCTGGCGTAGAGTGCGCACTGCGCCACTCCACAGTCATGCCACCGGCTGCTGCAGTTCTAGTGTGATCATTTCATCTCCCCCTCAAGGTTTGTGAATTCGTGAAATGTTTCAAGGATTCGGATAGGCGGCTCGGCACATCGCACTCCCGTCTGTCACCCCAGTGCCTGCGCCACGGTGGCCCGTCAACGGACGTATACACCATAGCTTACACTCTAGAGCAGGTGCGCCGCCGAGAAAATTGGGCCGACCATCGTAGTGTATCTAGATTTGGGAATCACACTCGTCTGCACGCTGCGTCTCGATCGACGCAGCTGGGCGATCTGCGCCCTGCCTTCACCGCCGCTGCCGCTCTCTTCGGTTGCCTGCTCACGGCCCTCCGCCAACCAGCCCTTTGGTCTAATGCAAGGTATATTGCAACTGTTACGTGAGTGACTGTTTCGGTCGCGCTCTCTGCGATCGTGGCTCTGGCAAGCGCGCTCCGAGCCTATGTTTTACAGATCCAAGCGCGCGCTGGCTGCGCACGGTCCCGAGAAACAGAGGAGCTCTGGAGGTCCTTCAGGCTCTCAAGTGGTCTCAGACTGTGAGTCAGTATGTAGCCTCCTTGGCCACGCAGGTTAGTGAATGTAAAGATTGCAGCAATCACTGATGTCTCTTTGCGGCATGAGTCGTGGCCAGATCTTTTCGATCCATCGCCCATTGTGCTCAAGTTTTTTCTGCTCCTCCTGCGTCCCCTCCGCCACCCTCTCGGCAACTGTTACGTGAGTGACTGTTTCGGTCGCGCTCTCTGCGATCGTGGCTCTGGCAAGCGCGCTCCGAGCCTATGTTTTACAGATCCAAGCGTGCGCTGGCTGCGCACGGTCCCGAGAAAAAGAGGAGCTCTGGAGGTCTCTCAGGCTCTCAAGTGGTCTCAGACTGTGAGTCAGTATGTAGCCTCCTTGGCCACGCAGGTTAGTGAATGTAAACATATATATATATATAATAATAGAATAATATATATATATTATATATGTTATTATATATAATATATATATATATGAAATGTATATACATATATATATATATATATATATATGGTTCCTAACGCTTCAGAGCGGGACACGCGTGAAGACACATTTGTTCCTAACGCCCACGGGCGGGATAAGCGTGAAAACACATGTGTCCCTAACGCCAAATTGCACCAGAGGAAGACCCAGTCAGTGGATGGTTTGAAATAGGATCGATAAAGAGATCGATAAGGAGATCGACCGGGAACCTGGGAACCCGGGAACCATGAACCCACCGAAATCGGCCCGGAACAAATAACCAGGTACTCAGGAACTTGGAACTGGGAACCCGGGAACCCAGCCGGCCACCAAAATCGGCGGGAAATTTTCGCCAAATCTTTCAATTCCCGCTAGGACCCCTTCAGTGCAAGCGCTGATTGGGGAATGGCGGGACAAACGTGAAAACAGCTGGGTTCCTAACGCTTCAGAGCGGGACAAGCGTGAAAACACATGTGTTCCTATCGACCCCAGAGCGTGACAAGTTTGAAAACATGTAGGTTCCGAGTGCTTCAGAGCGGGGCAAACGTGAAATCACGTGGGTTCCTAACGCTCCAGGGCGGGACGGCGTACGCCCCTCCTCCCTCGGCGCGTCCTCTGGCTCGTCTTCTGTCGCGTTCCCTGGCTTCTCCTCTGGCGCTGTCCCTGCCCGTTTCGTGGCGAGCCCCTCGTTCCCTGACGCGTCCCCTTGCGAATCTCTCAGTGCGCCAGTGACACATTCCGCGGCGCGTCCATGCGCCCTGCGCCCCGTGTCGTCTCGTCCCGCTTCGGAACTGAGTCGGATCTTGAGCTCGCATTGATCGTTTCTTCTGCGACCTTCGACTTGAGCTAGCTCTGGGCGAGTTGGGCTGCCAGGCAGCTCGAGCTTAAGATCCAAATCAGTTCGGGCAGGTCCCGTGGCGCGTCCTCCTGGCATATCGCGCGGCGCTCTGGCACGTCCCCTGGCACGTCCACTGGCACGTTCAGTGGCGCGTCCCCTGGCACGCCACTGTGCGGCGCGGCACAGCGCAGAGCAGCGCAACACAGCCCATGGCACAGTGACATTACCATTGATATCTTCAGCATTGCCACTGCCCATCGCCCAATTGAGGTGGTTGGAAACGTTTCTGTGCCTCGCAGTTCTAGATCCCTTTCCGAGTTCGTGTTTCGGTCATATATGATTTTTGACGGGGATAGTGGCCTTGCGCGAAGCAGGCAATATCACCCCCGCCGTCCCGGTCAAAAAACAATACACAGTGCTCGTGGGGCCCACAAGCATGACCCAAGATTTTGCCGCACATTTTGCGTTCGGATTGTTTATTGACAGGGACAGGGGTGCACTGGTCCCAGTTGGCCGACGGTCGCTTGGGGGAGGCGGTGTTTATCCATAGAGAACAATGATAAACCCGTCCCCGAAGGGGAAGAAGGGGGGTGGAGGAGGAAACTCGCCAAACCACTCACGCCCTAAAGGGCTGGTGGGATGTACAAGGGAATCTGGCCGCGCGGGTGCAGTCCTGGGGGTGAGTTGCAAAGCGTCTGGCTGCCCAGAGGGGCAATGGGGCTTCCAAGAAGGCAGGGGGCCTCTCGAGAGCCCTCCCGACCTGAAGGGATCCTGCTTAGAAGCATCCGGGCCTCTCCAGGGGGGCCGCCGTTGTCTGAGAAGCCCCACGCCTTCTTAGAAGGCCTGTCCCCCCGCGCCACCTCCTCCTCTTCCACCTGCTGCTCCTCCTCCTCCGTAGCCATTTTGGCTCAAGATGTCTGCTTTGCGTGAGCAGGGCATGGATACCGCTAGTCCGCGGCCAGTCCAAGCTTTCCAGCGACAACCACGGGTGAGCTGGCACCCCTCCATATTCCCTGTTCGCGACCGCTCCCACCGAGCTTTCGATTCCTGCCCGCTGGGCAAAAGTGCGCTCGCATGGCAGCTGAGAACGGCGCTGGTCGTGGTTCTGGGCGCGCTGGCGGCGGTCACCGCGGACAGGTGCTGCTACCCCTCCTGGACGACAGCGTCGCGAGCCCGCTTCCCCCGCTGCCTCTGGAAGGTCTCTATCGAGAAGTACGGAGGAATGGAGCGCCCGCTCGAGACGGAGAGCAGCTAGGAAGGACGACGTGCTGGCGGTTCCTGGCTCCCGTCGTGATGGCAAACGAGATCCACGTCCCACGCATGAGCCTCAAGCTGTGGCCGCCCCCTCAGATCCTGATCGGCATCATCCTGCCGCGCATCGACCTGCCGAAGAACCTGATCCTTGGCAAGTACCTGGAGGTGGGCCATGGCCAATGCGCACATCGCTCCCTGGCGCACCTGTTGGAGGATGCCCCACCCCGACGGGGATCTCTGGCGACCCCCAGGCGCTGCTGGACAGCTGTATGCAGCAGGCCATCGTGGCGTTGGCGGAGACGTCGCGTGTCCAGCTCGCCTCTTGCCGGCAGCAGCTTGTGGGCACGCTCCAGGCCCAACAGGAACACGTCGCCAAGTCGCTCGCTGTCCACGCCCGTGACGTTGCCAAAGTTGGTGAGCGAGCGGATGCCCTGGCTGATGAACAACAGCGGATGCGGGCCCATATCGACGACATCGGGAACACGCTCGCCATGGCCGAGAAAGGGATACCGATCATCGACTTCCAGGCGCTCGAGGCGTGGCCCAGGCTCCCTGATGCGAGGATCTTTTCCGTGGGTGCACCTGAACTGGTTGGCCCTGCGCAAGTCCGCGCTGGCATCTCCGACTGGCTCACAGCTGCTGGCCTCGACAATAGCATGGTCCGCCTCGACTCCTCCGTCCCCAGTCAGCGCTTCAACATTGTCGTGGAGGGCGGGCTGGACATCGCCATCCCGCGTGCTCAAGCGCTGGCTCGACATCTGCGTAACCCTGCTGCTACCAATGGATGGCGCTCCTTCCAATGCCAAGCGGTTGGCGGTGGCTCTGTCCAGCTCTACGTGTCTCCTGACAAATCCCCACACCAAGTGCGGGTGGAAATCCAAACGAGACGTCTCGCCAACATCCTCAGTGAAGCGGTACCTGGTCAGGCCTTCAGCGCCCAGCGGGCTCGTGGCATCATCGCTTCCCAGGGCGTCAAGCTGGCCAAACTCGAGATGGGCGACCGTCGGGAAACGGACGCCACCATCCGCTGGAACATGGACATGGTCTCGCGGCTGGCCTTCGACAGGGACGCGATCGCCGAGCAGTTCAAGAAGGCCTTCTCGCTGGAGGACCGCACGGAGTGGCTTTAGCACTCCGCGCTGGGCTCCGTGGCGCCCGCCGACTTCCGACTGTCGCTCCCGAGGCCTGCATTTGGTGGTGTGGAACGCCAGAGGTTTGCTCCACTTGAACCCGCGGCTTCGGCGTCGCAAGTTGGCATTCCTGAGATCTCGCATGCGGACGGGCGCCATGATCCTCGTCCAGGAAGTCCACGGATCCGAGGATGCGTTGAAGGTCTTCTGTCAGCTACAGCCGCAGCGCTACCTCTCGTTTCTGGCGCCTGGCTCTTCCCCCGGCGTGGGTGGCGTCGCCTTCCTGGCCCCGCAGTTGCCCGCGGCTACCTCGCACGGGGTGGCCCCCGCATTCTCCTTCGACATCGTGATCCCTGGCAGGGTCGCCCTCCTCACCGTGGGCGGTCCCTCGTCGCAGCACAGCATGCAGATAATGAGCGCGCACAACTTCGACCTCGCGGATGGCGACTTCGCCGCGGTGGAGATCGCTTGGAACGACGCCCTCGCCTGGGCCGCGGACGACCACTTGAGGCGCACCTTCATTGGGGCGGGTGACTTCAACACCGCGGACCGCCCTGCAGTTTCGCAGCGGCCTCCTGCGGCAGAGGGGACCTGGCGATTGCGCCCTGATCAACGCTACCAACTGCGACAGCCTGCGTGGCGCCGGCTCTTTCCCGCGGCCCTGGAGATCGAGGCGCAATGGCCCGCCCGCTGCGACGAGGCCAGCCAGCAGCTCCCAGCCATTGACCGCATCTTCCTGGGTATCGACGCGCATGCGATGCTTTCCGTCCCCGCGCGCCTCGCGACCGCCTGCGGCGCGATGGGGTTGTCGGAGCTCGGCCCCAGTGACCGTGCGCCTCTCATCTTGCAGATCGGGATGGCCCGACATGTACCACGCGAGGAGCAGGCGATCCCGTCGCGCCTCTTCTCTCACCCGAAGTACCCCGACACGTTCTCTCTCATGATGACGAACAGCGATCTGGAGGCGGCGTCGGTCGAGGAACGCTGGCGCGCCACCAAGACTTGCATGCAATTGGCTGCTGCTCGGATCCGTGGCGAGCAGCCGTGCACCAACTTCTCCCTGGAGGTCAAGGACGGCAATGCCGAGACCACTTACATGGGCTTCAAGACTGCGGCGCGGGCCCTCTGGCGCCAGGATGCGTTGCTCGCGGCCCGCCTCCTTGCCTCGTGCCCTGACCTCTCCGCCCGCCTGCTGATCGACCAAGGCTCTGTTCGCGTGGCGGACGTCAGTGCCTTCGACGAGGCCTTCGACGCGGTCGCGGCGAAGGCGCATGCCATGCGCGGGCAGGCGGCCGAGGCTGCTGCTCGGAGGTCCAACGACCGTGACAGCCCCGCCTGGCGTAGCGTGGAGCGTAGATCTGCCCGACGCGCGCAGCTATGGACTCCCTGGCGTCGACGAGTGGTGCTTGCTGGCCTATGGCTTGACTCTGCCCCACGCGCCTCCGACACCGCCTCGGACGTGCCTCGCAAGGTGGTCAGCGACTCCGCGGGCATGACGGGCGTCGTGGCCGAGTACGGGGGCAAGATCTTCGAGCGCACGCCGACCGTGGAGCAGGCGCTGCGGCTCACCCAGTTCCTTGACCGCTTTGCTCCGCAGCTCCCCGTGGTGGAGCTCCCGCATCCGTCGCTGCGCGCGCTGGGGCGCGCCGCAGCGCGGGCCCCGCCGAGCGCTCCTGGTCCTGACCAACTCCCATGCGCAGCGTGGCGGCGCAGCCCTGGGGCTCTCCTGCATCTCCATGCTTTGATGGAGCAGCTTTTCAACGAGGGCGCAGGGCCGCATAACCTCAACTGGTCGATCTTCCTCTGCGTGCCGAAGGGGGCGGAGGACGAGGACACGCCCGACTCGTGCACTCGAACGGCCTCCACGGTGCGCGCGCTCTCCCTCGAGGATGCGGACGCCAAGCTCATTGCCTTCTGCGCGGATCGCGCTCTGCAGCCCATCGCCTCCGCGGCGACGGAAGGGGTGCAGAGGGGCTTCACTGCTGGGCGCCGCTTCGTGGACCACATCCCGTTCCTGGGCGCGGAGTGCCGCCGCGGGGGGCTCCTCCCTGGCGCCGCTCAACGTCGACCGATGCTGCTCCCCTTCGACTTCAAACAGGCTTTCCCGTCCCTCTTCCGCGACGTGATCGACATCGTGCTGCCGAGGTACGGCGTCCCGCTGGGCTACTGCAGTGCGATCTCGGCGCTGTGCAGCAACTGCCTTGCCTTCAGCTCCTTCCGAGTCTCGGGAGGCGGCGCGGCGATGGGGCCGCTCTTTGCCTTGAGGTGCGGCGCCATGCAGGGGCGCCCCCTCTCGGGCACGGTCTGGCGCTTGGGCATGGACGCCCCGATCCGCCTTCTGATCAAGGCGCTGGGAGACCCCCTGAAGGCTGCCTCACAGCGCGCGCGTACGATCTAGGCATGCTCATCCGCAATGCCGGGATCCCCCCGTCCATCGCCGAGCCCTTCGCGGACATCGAGTTTGCGTTCAACCTCCAGCTTGCGATCCACAAGTGCGTGCTGGCCCCGCTCTGGGCCGAGGTCACGTCCGCCCTTATGAATGACACCGAGGCGCTCCTGGCCGAGATGGCCCCGACCTGGAGGGGCTTCCGCGTCGATTCATCGGCCAAGTACCCGGGCACGCGCATCGGCCCTGGCATCGCGGAGCAGGGCATCTGGAAGGATGCGGCGGCGAAGTGGTGGTCACGGGCTGCGAAGTTGAGCCGCGCGGGCATGGCGGCCAGCCTTGCCGCTCGCGCCCACAACGCCAACGTGATTTCGTGCCTCTCCTCCCTGGCCCAGCTCTTCTTCATCATCCCCGAGATCTGGCGGATCGAGTTCACGATGCCCCACCGCCTCCTGCGCTTCCGGCCGTCGGCCATGCGCAAGGCGGACATCCTCTCCATGGGTGCGTGGTGCGGCCC